GGTCAAAATATTAGTAATATAGTTTGTGACATTTGCTAAAATGGATTGACCACAATAAATCCACTATACAAATTTGGATTTAATTGCTAACATTGATATCGTCATGGTTTCTTAACTACATGTAAGGTGTGCCTTAACCAGAGAACTATGAAATCTTTGACCTTAAACTTCCCATTTTTTTCAAACTTCGGATTTTAAATGTTATCTGTTTAGAAGCAGTTAATGACCCAAAATTTGAATAGCCACACCTTCATGTCCACAGTGCATCACAAAGGCCTTTAAGGGTGTGGAATCACCATCAAATTTTAAAATAATTTTAAAGTAAAAACAATTTTAATACCTGTGTTGTCCCTGCCGAGGTCAGTGCGAAGGTACTTACAAGATTATGCCACTTAACAGTCAGACAAATCGGAGAGAAGCTGACAGGTTTTTTTGACATAAAAAATTCTGCCTTGTATATATGCTTTGATTCAACTGCAGTCCTGTGCTGTCTTAGTTTCAAACAGATATTTATACTACCAACCTAGAATTAGTTAAATTATCAGACTTGAATCTGCACAGTATCATTCTTGTGTGGTGTTCTAACGTTAACATTAACGGATTCTCACCTGCTTTGTAACATTCCATGTTTAATTCATGCTAGTCATGTGGTATCTGTATTTATAGTCGGCTTACATTAAGATTTACAAAGTACAATTAGAGTACATTCCTTGCTGTTTATATATTGTCTATAAAATTCTTTCTATTTATTTGCAGATGTGAATGACTTTATGCAAAACATAATGTATACTGTGATTTTGCCAATAAAACAGTGATTCTGTATGTACAACATGTTTAGTAGTTTTGTTTCTGTAAATATTCATTTTAATTACTGTACAAAGTGAAAGTATGCCTTTAAAAACAAAAGTAAACTTGTAATTGACCACTAGAGCGCATGTTATAAACTTAACACTTGTGAGGTACCGTATTTGCTGTTTGCATTAATGAAAAGGATTAAAAATGAGATGTACCTTATTAGTCCCCGTTCGAACGAAGTCCAAAAACGGGGACTTATAATTCGGTCTCCGTCCGTCTGTGCGTCCGTGCGTCAGTGTGGAGTCATATCTCAGAATCCCTTGGACCGATTCCGTTCATTCTTTGCATGTGCCTAGTACTTTATGTGGGACATA